TAATTTCTATTTCTCTATGTCTGGTTATCTCTTCATTGCTACTTTGATCTGGTTAAGTTCTGAACCTAATCCTTAGGGTATTGTCTCCTTGGTTTATTAACAGCTGTTGATTCTTCACAATCTTGTCCCACATTTATAACAGCTCCCTTTTTTCTAACAATCTCTGAAGGCATCATAATTATATTCAGGCTTTTGTCTGTTCCTAGTAATATATTCTTTCTAGTTGCACTTGAAACAGTCATTGTTCTGTGATTTATTTCCTCCATTCTGTGTTACTAGTTATCTAACTAATCTTTTCAGCTCTTCTAGACTATCGTCAGGGGGAATTAATATGTCAATACTATTTGATTTGATGTTACCATAACTTCTATATGGTGTAAATAGTTATTTATCTCCGACTTTAATGTATTCGTGTTCTATCTTCAAACGGAGAGCTTCCTTTAAAGCACACCTACTTTTATTGAGTCTAATTCTCATGTACTTGTCTCTTATGGCATCTATAAACGGATCACATGTCAAGGAATCCACCATTACTTATGGACCATGTGGGTAAGACATTGGGCAAGCCTTTCTAAATAGTCTGAAAATGCAGCTAAGGTATTTTATTTCCTCTGTATCCTTCTCTGGAATTTAGCTTTAGAGACTTCCTTCTGACGTGTTACTCCAAACCTGTTGTGTAATGCAGCTACCAATGCTTGATAGTTGTTACGTATCCAAGTTGGCCATCAAAATTAATAACGTATTCACTACTCCACCCATTTAGTACGGAAAAGTCTTTCAAACTGAGTTTGCTATATTCCCATGGTACCTTGCTATCATAGCTCACTGATTTCTCGATTGGGTAATGGGAATAGTCCAGGAAGGTCATAAATCGTAGCGATAATAGGTGCGAAACAAATAGGTTCTTTTATTCCATATTGAATAGTATATGGAGTTTTAGGTTGGAATTCACAGGCAGATACAGAAAGAGATGTGGCTAGTATAATCTTTGCATTTACCAGTTCATTTTCCAGATGTTTTTACCTTTCATTGTTTTTTTTTCTGTCACATTGTTCTTGCCTCTGTGTACTTGAGTGATGTCTTTCTGTACTTCTGCAAACTTGTTGTTGTAATCATTTTATACTTTCCCTGTAGCTTTGTGAATATTGTCTACAGTCAAATTTATTTTTGTTCTCAATTTTAACTCCTCTCTTAGATTTCCGTCTCTTACCTCTTGATCTTCTTTTAGTTTTCTGTCTTATTCTTATAATTTTTCCTGTTTTGTGTTTATTTCTTCTCGATCTTCTTTTAATTTCTTTTAACTGTTTCATCATTTTCATCAAAGTTGCGGTTTCCTTTTGTGATCTTGTTGCTATTTTGAAGTTTTAGTCAGTTCTATATAACTTTCATGAAACTTCTGAAAAAAATGTTGTAACGTGTTCTATCTAAGTGCGATTGTTTTGGGTTACTTGGTAAAATAAGTGTTAAGTCCATCTAAGATAATGGTAATACATTTAATATTTTATATATATATATATACTATTTGCTACAGGCTATGTTTAGATGCAAGTATAATTTCACAAACGTTTCGAAAGAAACTTTGATACTAATGTACACCTAATGCAGTTTACTTGGCTTGACCAGATGGCTTGGGCGCTCGACTTTCAATCTGCGGGTCGCGGGTGTGAATCCCCGTCTCACCCTTTTAGCCGTGGGAGCGTTATCAATCTCACTATTTGTTGGTAAAAAGAGTAGCCCAAGAGTTGGCGGTGTTGCTTTCCCTCTAGTCTTTCACTGCTAAATTAGAGACGGCTAGCGCAGATAGACCTCGTGTAACTTTGCGCGAAATTCAAAACAAACCAAACCTCATGCAGTTATAAACTCACTTGTAGAATATCCTTGCTAATAAATCAGTAAAAACAATAACAAAAACACACTGACTAATCCCCTGACTAACTGAATCGCAGACAAATAGACGTAATAGTTCTCACTGTCTAATATATTCTGCAATAATTCACTCACTGATTATTCATTAAAACACTCACTGGTATGCATATCATTCTCGTTTTCTTCTTACTACACGAAATTTCTAGATAATTACATCATCATTATCATTAACTCCTTCTGGCAAACAAACATACAAATTAAAATATACAAGTATAGCTTGCAACATTGTCATCAAATTGGAACTTTGTACTTCAACTATCCACCATAAATAGTAATGATTAATCCCTCTTATCAACGTACAGCTTTTCTGATAAAAAGTGATTGAGTTCAATATTTTCCATGATTTTTCTATCCATTGTAAATTACAGCCGATAGCTTTTGAACAAGTAGCCTTGCTACCCTTCTTTTTCTAGCTCTATTGTATTTAATTATTTCTCTTCTAATTGTTCTAATTTTAACTCTGAAATTACATAATCACCTCCTCCCAGTGGAACAGCGATATGTCTGCGGACTTACAACGCTAGAATCCGGGTTTCGATACCCGTGGTGGGCAGAGCACAGAGAGCCCATTGTGTAGCTTTATGCTTAATTAAAAACAAACAAACAAACATACATAATCACCAGCTTTAAAAACTTTTCAAAATTCTTTACGCACCAAATTGCTTCGGAGTCCATGACTTTGTTGGTTTAGGGGTCTTAATAACATGCGAGTCACACAAAAAATTAAACAAAAATACCGTTAGTACTGCAATTAATCTTGCTAATTACTGCTGGGGCGTCTGTGTATTTTATTTAGAAAACGGTTGATTTTACCCAATTATTTAGTTAGTTTTTTACACTGAATACTGTAGCAAGTAAAAAAAAAAGGTAATATTAGACACATTAATGCAACATGTCACTCTACTGGTATTGAACGGTATAAAAACAAGAAATTAATTTAAGGATTAAAATATTGAGTAAAATCATATTAAAATGTTATTGTAAGCTGTAATTTATATTTAATTTAGATGTTTGTTGTAAGAAAAAGTGTGTCATGATGTCATCTAGAAATTTCTTGAAAGTTTGGAATCTAGAAGTTGCGTATAATAAGTACAAAACGAGCAATGATATAAGCGCCATTTACTATGTTCGTTAATTAGTAAATAAGATTAGTGCCAATCACTGAGTTAGTCAGTTCTGTGATTTTAGTAAGCCAAACAGTGAGTTAGTTAGCGTGTTTGTTATCGATCAATTAGCGAGAGAAAATTTAACAAGTAAGTTTATTTGTGAGTCAGGCATATCAGAATTAGTCTCAGAATTTCTTTTCAAACGTTTTTTTGTGAAGTTAGACCTACAAGTGAAAATAGCCTGTAGCAACCGTTAAAGAAAAAATAAATTAATCCGTTATCGTTGTGTAGACTTAACATTATGTTTACCAAATAATGCAAAAGAACCAGCTCCAGAAAAGAACATGTTACAATAATAATGTACGTGTATTGAGTACTTCGGTTCATTCACTAAATAATCGCAAAGAAGACACACCAACAACTTAACACTAGAAAATACTTTATTCAAATCATATTTCTCTGTAGATGAAGCCTGCAGAATCTGCTTCAGTGAGCCAGGTGTATGTTCAAAATGTTTAAGCCTAATTCAAATATTTTTTGACTAACTGCAACCTTGAGAATTTATATTAATGTCACAAAAACTTTCAACTTTATGTTAAAGCTAATGCGTTCGTTTTGTGAGATTTCTTTTAATATTTCATTACAAAACGAAAATAAAAAGACGTTTATTATAAAACATGGTTTTACGTACAAAAGCTAAGGCCTTAAATAGCTGTTTGTTTGAATGGCTTTGTTTAGATGATCCCTTGGCATAGCTCTTGAAATGTTTACGGATCTTCCATGATTCAGGATAATTCTGCAGCTGAAATTACTGTGTATTTCAAATGAAAATAGATTAACAATAATATAGATGTGTAATATACTTTTTCAGGTTAATTAAATTTGATTTAATTGTCAGTAAATCAGATACAGTGGGATTAGAAAGAGTGTGTATGTTTATTCTTGCAAAATTCCTAAATTGAATCACTGCGATTAGTTTAACCACGTAAGAAAATTCTGGAAATGGATAAAGCAGTGGTTCTCAACCTTTTCCAGTAATGTAACCCCAGTTAATTTTTAACATTACCATGTACCCCCCTCGCCCACCACACACACGGTGAGTCACGTTTCACGCTGCTTCCCGTGACATTCCACAATGGCGCCACGAGCGTTTGTTTGAGTTGGGCTGACGTATAGCTACTATGCCGAACCGCCGCCCTCTACCACCTGGAAGTAATTTTGTATCCCCAGGGGTAGATGTACCCCCGGTTGAGAACCACTGGTCTAGGGTTTGGAATGGTGTCTTTTAATCTTTATACGTCAGATAATATATCGTTAAATAATATTACACTGTAAACAATACGAAGGTAAGAATTAAGTCGAAATGGTTAATTAAATCGCGATATCTGTAAATCAAAAGGCTTAATTAAAGATTCACTATAATTAAAAAAATAGAAAGACGAAAAAATACTTCATCTGATTTTTGACATCCAAGGTCTGATTTTTCTTTTTTTTTTACATCATGGTTGAAAAAAAATTTCTTTAGTACATTAAAATGTTCTATTCGTCCCTATAAGTCACAGCAGTACAATAACACTGCTTAAAAAGCTGAGCTTTTACTCGCATTTTAAAGTTACTCTTAGAAAAAAAAAATTCTCATTTTAATGACTACCTTTCAATAATTTTAATAATTGACGAAAGTTTCAGTAGCTTGACTTAGATTAACGTAATACTGAAGAGATATAGGTTTTTAATATATTATTGTGAAAAAATAGATAGTGTAAAAGCGACACAGTAAAAAAAAAATATTGCCTTATAAGAATCTTTTCTAAGTTTTTATTTTTATAATAATGTAACTATGAAACCTCAATGTATTTCTAACCTGATAAAACACACCAGTTTGACACTGAAGCTGGTTTATTGTTAAGATAGAGAGAGAAATATTAAAGATACACAGGTTTATGAATGTTCTTGCATTATCTTGCTCTGTTATCTTGGTAAAAATAAATAAACAAACAAACAAAAAAAAACACAAAAAACTCACTTTTATCTCGTAGTGTTTATAGCCTCCTGAAGAGAATCCCGAGGTAAACATTGAAATAATTGATACCATATTTCGTTTTCTTCTAGCAAAATCTACGAATTAATTATTTATATATACCTTTCTCCTGAAACTGAAAAAACAAAACAAAAAATAAACATAATCGAGCTTGTTTTATAAGAAACAAAAGAAAATTTTGCATTAAAGAATAGTAATAGCCAATCAGACTTAAAGGGTTTATTTGGAATCGGTCTGTTCATGGTTTAGTCCAATTCATCGTGTTAATATTCTGTATATAATTAAAGGTACAGAGTATTATGTTCCCTTAACATATCACCCACATTTACAAACATAGAAAGCTTACTTGAACAAGGAAATGTAGACTAAATGAAACAGAAAACAATAAGGCCAACATATAAATATCAGAACAATGATATAGAGCCACATACTTGCAAATACAACAACAATCTAACAAGCTAAATTCTTTATTTCTTTTAAACAGAAGCAGAAACCTGCAGGCTTTGCTGGTTATTTAAACAAATCACAGACATTTACATTTAAAAAGGAATAAAATGCCTAATTTTCAATATTGCAAATAGGAAAACATGCATGAATTCACACTTAGGGTATTTTACCTCACAGATGTTAACTGTGTTTTCTTATATTTTATGCGCATGCGTATAAAATGATTGTATCGCGAAAGACAGGATTTTCGCGATTTCTCGACATTTTAATATTGGGTTGTGGTTTGTTCCTCGGAAACAAACACTTGTCTCATTCCACCTGGGACCTGGCTGGTTGTTACCCATGAGCGGTGCTTTGCACGGATAAAAGAAAGATTGCTCTCGGCTTGGTCAGCACGTTCCTCGGCAGTCTCGAGCTCGCGCTGGAAGCGACGTACTCGTGTAAGGTTCTGTTGGCTAAGTCCCTCCTGGAGAAGAAAAGAAGAAGAAAACATAGTCACATATGTAGTAGTTTCGAGATGTTTTTAAAAACAAGCAACAATTTGACAGGAATGTAACTGTTACGTAGAACCGACGTAATTTATCATTACCTGTACAACCTATTGTAAAAACAAGTGACTATGGTGAAATTTCATGACCCTCAGATCAAAAATAAGAAAAAGGACACCGGTTTTTCTTTAGCTATTTTCAGAAATCTAAAACACGGATAAGAACCTGACGGATTTGTTGCTCATCTACCAAAATAACGTTCACAAGCACACACACACATAAATATGTACGCTGTAAATCTATCTGTCGTTTGCACTTGTGAACCTCACCACGTTAAACTATAAATATCTGGCCTTAAGTCCGTATTCTTACGAATGGTGATAACTCCTACCCATAAGGATGTAAATAAAGGTATAGATATTAGATGTTCTACCGCAGGGTCCCAGAAAGTGTTGTCTTTCAAGACTAAATAAAACCAAAAATAAGAGTAACAAATATTTTGATTTTTTGCTTTTGAAGTTCATATGTCATGCTGTATTGTACCATAAAGAGTGCATAATTCTTCTCATGCGCACGTTTTACTGACATCACGATAGTACAAATTGTAACGTTAAGCGTCCATTATGTGACGTCATTTTAGTGTCTACTGACTGACTGACAGACAACACATTACAATATAGTGATGTGAGTGGTTAAAGCAGGTGACCCCTCCAGGCGGCCTTCGGCCCCTTTTCGGGGAAATAAAAGGTTTGGCTGTACATTTTAAAGCTGTATTAGGGATCTACACTTATTATTCCAATAATATGCACACCGTAATTCTTTTAAAGTAAAGTATTAGATAAACAGGATGAACATCATGTATTCTTGTTTCAACTGGGGAGTTAAAGCGCATTTTATTTTTCTATTTTAAACTTGGTGTTCTTCAAGCTTAATTGATGAATATTCTATGATTAAAGGTAAAGTTTCCTTCAATGAAAAAGAATGTTTGTCATTCTCTCTCGACTAGCTACTCTTGTCAACAATGCTATAAAACGTTCATGAAATAATGGAAGGATCTTATAATACTCACCAGTGTCTAACTAATATGATCAGCATTAGGATGCTTAATAGGATTATTACACGTTACATCATAAGAAACCAAGATGCAACTTGCCCTGAACGGTACTATTCTATAAATACTTTGTGTCAGGGCTCCAAATATTTGAAGACGTTTGTACATACAATGTTACTTCACACCGATCCACATTTAGTGCAAACAGCTTTTTATTCTCACCTGCTCAGCGAGCTGTCGTTTGTACATCTTGCACTTTTCGTCGACCTTGTTAAGAGCATCATTCAAGGCAGTGAGATTTCTGTGGTCCTCTTCAGTTTGTAGTAGAAGCTCCTTCAAGCGGTGTTCCTTCTTGCGCATGATCTTTTGGGTTTCAACATGTCGACGTTTCTCCTCCTCCAGCTCGATTTCCACATCACGGATCTAATTTTAGAAGTAAAATTCGATACTTACAATTTACTACTAAAATTTAACTTAAATAGCTTGATATTAGGTTAGGAACAACTGTTGCCAAGGATATCTAAATTAATAGAAATATAACAGCAGAATCCCGAATTCGAAGTCTGTAGTTAAACAAATGACTGTGGAACTGGAACAATCATGATGTATATGGTATTTAATTGGAAGCACCTCAGAAACAAAGAATTCTGTAATCACATTCATTACAGACAATGTGAACATGATTAACCTTTCACGCCATAGGCGGCGAAACCTCAAATCTTTTGACGTGGAAATGAAGGGTCCCTTCGAATGAGGTTCAGATGCATATGTATAGTTATCATGGAAACTTATGGCTTCAACTTTAAAGTCGATGGTCACAGTTAACATAGCAAATAAGGTCCCCCCCCCTTGTCGGTGCCCCCCAAATTTCGTTTCACCGCCTAAGTTTCATGCTATTACAAACTAGCATGGTCGTATTAACTTTACAAGAGGTGTATGCCAAAGAAGAGAAGATAAATTATGTTTAAGAACATTTTGAGTTATAAGTTGAATCGTAATTTTTAGCAGTTTAGTAAAGGCCTATCGTAATAGTAAGCTAGGTTTCATACGCTGTACACCTTGTTTATAATCCACAATTTCTATAAAGGAAATATACTTATACAAACACACATACATGTATATCATTATTTATCTTTTAAAGACGTAGCCAAAAGACGTCCCTCCGTCATTCGATTTACAACGCTAAAATCAGGGGCTTGATTCCCCTCGGTGGATGTGGCTTTGCTATAAGAAAACCCACGTATACATAAAACAAAATGTTTGAGTAGGAAAATCACCTTGTCGAAACTTCGTAGCGAAAGGTATCAGATTTACTTTTATTGTATTTCTCTGATAAACGTATATTAGAAAGTCATGTAATAAATATGTTGTTTTGCAACAATATGAAGCAGCAACAAAAAAATAATTACCCTAGTTTCCAATTTAGCAATAACGCGTTTTCCTCCAGCCAAAGCATTAGCTTCCACTTCCTCTATACGAATCTGAAGGTTGCGAACTTCAATTTCCAGGGTCTTCTTGATAGACTCGATTTTCACATATCTTTCCTGTTCTTCCACCAAATGTTCCTTGGTCACCTTCAGTTCGGTTATGGCTCGGTTGGCGCGATCGTCGGCGGCCTGTAAAGTCAAGTAATGATTACCTTATAGGTTTTGTCCCTGAAACAGGGATGGCACTCGATAGTTACCGGCTGAAAAACTAACTTCAGATTTGTTAATTTGTACTGATCTCTTTATTATTGTTATAACTCGTCTCAAATATAAGGTTTAGAGAAGACGACCTATATACTCCAGATATATAAAAAAAAAATTCTAAAATATTCTAACCAACGTTTCGCCTTTGCGGCTTCATTACGGTTAATATACACAACTGGTTAAAACGTTGGTTACAATTTTAAAAATAAATCTTTTATATATATATATCTAGAGTATAAAGGTCGTTTTTTTCTAAACATTTTATGAAAATGTGTAAATCCCTCCAGTATTCACTACAAATTTTGAAAGTCTGAAATATAACTTTTACTCTGTAAAATTTAGTACTGATGCTATTATACCTATAAATCCTTCGATGTTAATAACGCTTAAGTATTTTCATTTTATGTGTGTTGCTTTGTGACATTTCGTATTATATTAAAAAAAAATTATTACATATTTGAATTTTATAACTTTTATTGGGGTGATTAAAAAATAACAAAACAAGAGAATCGTTTAGTTTTGCCATTTTCATTGTTATTCTTCTTTGCAGTTCATTTACGAGTAAGCAAAGGCTTGTTGTCGTGAAATTTGTGTAGTTCGCCATTTTTATCGTTATGAAATTTGCAGCTCACTTACGCGTAACTTACAGCTTCTAATTTAGGCCCAAGGCCTGAAACTATGGTGTATCACTACCATATTATTGTGAATAATTTAAACTAATAACAAAAGTATTTTTGCGACGTGTTCAATCATTAGGCGGGTTTATTTGGTAAATATAATGCCAATTCCAGTCCATGTAAGAATAAAGAAATTGTTTATTTATTCCTTAATGTTTGCTCCAAGCTACTTTCCTTGTAGTTGTAAGCCTACGTGCACAAACAACGTTTCAACAGATTTCAAGAGAAACGATAAGTATGCCTAAGTCACAAATGAGCTTATTTACAAAATTCCTTAACTAATTGACCGAGCAACTGAACAGAAGCAATACAGTTAATTTCTAACAGTGAACTCATAAATTTACTGAAATTCGTAACTGATTAATTTGTATATATATCGTACCCTTGTTTTACGAACCTTCTCAATTTTCATTAAAATTAATTTTCTAGATAATGCATCATGATGATTAGCAGCTCCCTCCAGTAAATATCTAAATTAAAATATAAAAATATAACTTGCAACAGTATTGATCCTAATTTTACATATGGAATGTTTGGATAAAGTCATTTGCCAATATTCCTAATTGTGTCAGAATTCACTTAAACTCATAAATAAGATCAACTTGCAGTAAGATAGAAGTTGAAATAAAAATGAAGTATTTTGACTTGATTATTTTTGTTTGTTTGTGGAATTTCGCACAAAGCTTCTAGAATTGAGAAGTGATAGAATAGAGGGAAGGCAGCTAGTAAAAACCACCCACCACCAACTATTGGGCTACTACTTATCAATGAAATATGGGATTGACCGTTACTTTATAACACCCCCACAGCTAAAAGGATGAGCATGCTCGGTGACGGGATTCAAACTCGCGACCCATAGATTGCGAGACGAGCGCTCTAACCATCAGGTCATGCCAAACCTGGCTTGACTACGGTATATGATTATAATAATAAAGAATATTACTATTGTAATGCCCCCCCCCCCAGTGGCACAGCGGTATGTCTGCGGACTTACAACGCTAGAATCTGGGTTTCGATACCCGTGGTGGGCAGAGCACAGATAGCCCATTGTGTAGCTCAGTGCTTAATTACAAACAAACTATTGTAATATAATTAAAAGGTGTAGAGGTCAAGAAAAATCAGTTTTAATGTAACCGGTGTCGCCACCTGGTGGCTCAGCGTCAAGTTTGAAGACATATAACAATAAAAAAGCGTAATTTTATATCAGTGGTATGCGTAGCGCAGATAGCCCACTGTGTAACGTTCTGCTTAAGAACAGATCTATAGGTGACATTATATTATTTTAAAAAAATCTCTCTCCTCGACACTTTTAAGTAATTTCATTTATAAGCTTTAAAAGCTCGAGCGATTTGTACCCCAACTATAAATCTATTCTATAAAAAAACTTGTGATGAAATATTTTTCAGAATTCCCGACCTCTGATGACCATAAAACTTTCAGAGATTTTTCGGTATGGTCGAGATAGGTTCTAAAACATCTTACTTTATCAGTTTACCATGTTTTATGAGTTCAACACTTATTTAAATTCCTAGTGCTATTTCCTTCTAAAGTGACTATTTCCAAAACTTTGACCAACGTCAAGTTTTCAGAGGTTCTTGGGTATGACCAAGATCTGCAGAACACTTAAAATACAAGTTAGATACCACATTACAAATAGTCACGCTAAAGTGAAAAAGCTGACCAGGAGGGATTAATTTTTAAAAGTATTCATGCCCGTTTTCAGTAGACCTGTATAGTGAATGACGCACACGCACAGTATCCTACCATCCTCAGAAGCCAATGAAACAAATAAATGCAGCGGTTTGATATGTGCTATTTAATACTTAAATATGTATAATTATTTATAGAAAAGAATATATTATATTTTTGATTATATGACGTTACTTACAGTTCTAAATATTACTGATTGTTTTTTCCCCTGTATTAATTACTGGGGTTGTAAGGACTACTGACCGTTTTCAGGATACATAAAACATGTTAATTTTTGAGGATTTTAATAATTTTGATAGCCAATAATTACTCATAAGTATTTGAACTTCATCTGTACCTAAAATACTTGTTTCACATCAAATATCAGGCTTAACGTGGCCTGATGGTTAGGGCACGGGTTCGAAACCCCGTCACCGAATATGCTCGCTATTTCAACCATGGGGACGTTATAATATGACAATAAATCCCAGTATTCATTAGTATATGATTAGCCAAGAGTTGGCGGTGGGTGGCGTTGACTAGCTGCTTTCCTGCTAGTCTGTCGCTTCCAAAGTAGGGATGTCTAGCGCAGATATCCCTCAAGTAGCTTTGCATGAAATTCAAAAACAAAGAAGAAAAAAAGATCGAAAAACAAACCACTTCTGAGAAACACTGCTTTCATTTAAGAAATTATTCAATTGTGAAATAAATTACACGGATAATTAACGTAAATTTACTTCGGTGTAAATTTCGAAGAATGCTCTTAAGATAGTTTTAAGTAAATCTAGTATTGAAAATAATAATAGTTAAGCCAATATGAGTTCTAGTTTTAACTTTGCCCAAATTCTAACGACTATTAGTTGATGTGGGTTGTTCTCGGTGTTCACTGAGAAGAAAGTTTGACAAATGTTATTTTTTCATAGCTATTCCCTTCCTTCCAGCGCTGCAGCAATAAAAAAAACAACTACAAAAGAAATAGTACTAGATGGTGGCCGGAGTCTGTTTACCTGTGTTAATCTCAACTCTACCATTGATGCTCTCGCATTATAATAGGTCATGCAAAGGTAGAAAGCTTACCCTAAGTTCTTTATGGATCTCATCATAGTCAGCCTGCAATGCAGATAATTCATTCTCCAGCTTCGTTTTAGCAGATGTGATATTAACGTTAATTGTAGTCAGCTCGTTGATACGAGTGTGGGATTCTTCCAAGGACTGCTCGAGTGATTTCTTTGATCGTATTTCCTAGAAATAGAAAATAAAGCATTCAAAAGTTAAAAACAGCAAGACAAAAGCGTTATAATTAAAGTAAAAGCTAAGAAGAATTGTTTGTAAAATTGTTAGCGTATTAAAAGTGGACAAAGTTTCAACCCACAGTCCTTTAGGGTAGCTAATAAAATCTAAAATTATTTATACTCTTGGAACATGTTCTTTCGTTCGGCAGGTTCTTTTGGATTATTTGTTAATAATAATAATAATCAATTGATTATTTAATAATAATTAATTTATTGAACAAACATATGTTACGGCCACGCCTACTTGTATGACTAGTTTCATAAATAAACTTTTCAACATAAACTCCAAGACTAATGGTAGATACGTCTAACTTATTTATAAAATTACTTCGCAAAGCTAATTGATCAATAAACAAACACACCGAGTAACTGAATAGATGCGATAACTCTCACTATTAACACTAAAATGAATCATTCATTGATTACTCACTGTTTCACTGATTACTTATTTTTGTACGTACTTTTGTTTCTGTATACTATACGAAATTTCTAGATTATATTGTTAATGAAATTTCGAGGTATTGCGTCATGGGCCCTCTAGGAAACAAAAATATAAAGTAAAATATTAAAAATATAGCTTACAACAATACAGCTAGTGATGTAACTAAGACAGTTCTTTTCATCACTTTTCTGTTGAGAGTCATGTTAGTCACGTGAAAAATATAACAAAGAGAATAGCACTCACAGAATCTAGGGTCACCCTAATTTCATCCAGTTCGGCCTGCAGGCTTTGACAGCGTCGCTGAGCCACTCCCAGTTGGTCAACAGTCTGTTGAAGCTGACGATGTATCTCGTCGTAATGAGACTGAAGCTCCTATCGAACAGAAAAAATAAGAAAATACACTCAACAATTCAACAGCATGTTGAAGCTGACAGGTACCTCGCCGTTGTTAGACTGGAGATACTAACGTGCAGAAACAATAAGAAAATGCATTTATTTTAGTTTACCTTTTGTTAGAAAAATTAGAAGTGAATAACTTCTAGATACTGAAGGTTATCACCGACTTTGAAAAGGACACGGAATAGTATTGTGTTAAAAAACAGTCAGCTATCATAACAGGTGGGCGGAGTGTAAGAACTGTGTTT